TCTCCCTCCCGGCCTGCGGGACTCGGAGACCCGGAAAAGTTTGCCGGGGCCGCCCGGCCGCTAGGCCCTGGGATTTCCATAGCCGCGCCCTCCCCCTCCCCAGTGCGTTGCCATGGAGACTGTTGGAAGTTGGTGGCAGAAAACAGACCCGGCGCAAAGCAAAATATTATGAGTGCAGTTGGGGTGACTTCAGCGGGGCGGGGGGCCGGAGGGCAGGAGCGGGAGCCAACGGCAGAGGCCGACAACAAAGGGCCGAGTGCAGGAGAGAGGAGTTTGCAGGGGCCTCCCCGCCGCTCCGTGAGAGCGGACCGTCCAGCTTCCCAGAGGCGCCGAGGTCTCTCATTTCTCTCCTGCAGCTACACCTTTTTCTCACCCCCCTGCACCCCCACCCTCCTCTCCGGGTTCTCTTCCTGGCACTCTCCCCATCTGAGGTTAGAGGCCCGCTGGCCAGTGCGCCCGCCGCCCCCGGCTGGCTTTTCTTCCCCACGACCTGTGGATCACCCAGGGTGAATTTCTCACCCCCTTCTCCAACCGGATCCGAAAGCGTGAAGGGATAGGATAAGGCAGGAAAATCTTGGAGGGTCTGACTTTTTCTGTCCTTTGTACAGTGGGAAAAGCTGAGTTATAATCCCACTCAACCACTTGCAGTGTTCCTTCAGGCACATCTAGCCTTTCCAAGATTAATTTTCCTTGCCTGTAAAATGAAGAGGGAGGGGGGGGGACAGCTGACAGGCTGGGATTCTCCACAAGTTAAACATACCCCTCTTTACTGTAGAATCCAGGAAGCATGTGTGTGCTGGTTGCCACTGTCTGACCTGTGATCCACTACACAATTAGTGAATCTCTCGCCAAACTAATAATAAGCGAAAATGTTTTTAAAAGTTATTTAGGATTTTAGGAATCAAGAACCTCGGATAACCATTTTCAAAGGTCCATTGTTTCCTTTCTCAGGGACACCTGAGGCACATCCCTTAAGTCTTTGGTCAACTCCTTGCATCCCAAAGGAATTTACTATAAGACACTAGATTTTATGGGGCTGTGTGCAACGTCAGTTTAGGAAACACTGAAATGCCTGTGGATGATGGTCAGCATCACAGAACCACACAGATGTTGGAGAGAATAAACACTGGCCAGTGTGACAAAATGTTGCCGTCAAAGAAACACTACACTCTACCCTCCCTCCCCCCACCCCCCTTGCTCGAACTTTTAGAAAGAGGTGAGGCTGTTGTCACAGAGCCACCCCTCCTGGTGATCATTTGAGCAGGTGGCAGGTGACCCCTTCCCTTCTGCCCTCGGCTGGAAATGAATGGATTGGACTTAGTGATCATGATGGCTGTGGTCTCTCTAGACGTC